AAAAAAAAAAAAGACTTAACATGAAAAGTGAATAAACCTGATTGTCTTCCAACATATCCCAGCAGGACAGTACTCCAAAGTTGGAAAAGACAAGAGTATGTCAAGCCAGACTCCTGTGATCCTACATCCACCCAGCAAAGTATCTCAGCCTATAGAATACAAATGGCTCAATGAATATTCGTTTGCAATTTAGGATCACCCCTCAGACAGAAAGAGTCTAAAAAGCTTGGATTTAAAGAAAGGTCAAAGTCTCGTTTGTTATAACAGAAAAAGAAAAGCCAAGTCATTATGCAAAGGTTTCCAGGAATAATTAGCAGATACTATAAACAACTCTAATTAGCTAGACTGGGCCCTCTGCCAAGCTGAGGGGCAAGCCAGAATTCCCACAAGAAGGGCAGGTTACAGTCCCCCAAACCCTCATGCCCATGGCCAAGAAGCATCAATGCACCAGAGGAGAATACCATCTCCACCACAGGACAGCATCTGGCAGGAAAACATTAAGGACGTGGGTACAAATGAGACTCCTGTTCTTCTTTTTTGAATTGTGTGTCAAAACCTTGTAAAAATGGAGGCAACAAGTGGATGGTTAAGTGCTGTAAGTAGCTGAGCAGTTTCGAGGAGAAACTAAAGTGGGTATTTGGTTTAGGAAGGTTTCTGGTTAAAGGTCCACTGTGAAGAAAGAAGAGAAGGAGGAGTGCATAGACGAGCTGAGTTCAGCCAAAGGATCTCCAAACAGATCATTCTGGCTCTTGTACAACACATTGCTAGATCATTTTCAGTTTTCATTTTTAATTTCTGGGATATTTTCCAAAAGTGTAAGTATTATGAGTACATAGTCAAAATGAAGGAAGGTTGGGTACTTCTGCATTCACCAAGCAGCTCTGAAATCTCCAATTGCTTACCCTACTATGATAAATCCAGTCCCTGTCTTGTTATTTTGGGCTTTTCTCTCACTGTTGTTTCATTTAGATTTCAGAGCAAGAGTGAAATTTAGTGGCAGGAAGCTGCCCTATGGCCAGTAGGCAGGTATTATGTCCCTGGGAAGAGGACAGGGCCTGAGAAGCTCACACTAAGCCAAGAGGTGTCTGCCACTGATTCTTGGCCTCTCGTAGTGCAATGCTATACAGTTTTACTCAGGGCTATGGCTGACAGTGGTTCTGAAACTTTGCTGCACATTGGATTCACCTAGGGAGCTTTTAAAAATCCCAATGGCCAGGCTACATCCTATTTCAACTAAATCAGAATCATTGGGGTGGGACTCAGGCATCTACTCCAATGGATAGCCACATTTGAGAACCACTGATTGAACAAATGCATCCTATTCAAATAACTCAGAAACAAGTCCATGGCTCATTCTGATAACCAGATAATAGAGAATACAGGTATCACAGAATCTGAAAAAGGGGAGAACTAGATGCTAGACTAGAAATGCTGCTAAAAGAGTTACACAGAAGATATCTTAAAGAGATACAA